ATTTGTGGCGCTAGCTGGCGCTAGGTCAGCAGAACACAAAAAGTCAAAATTTTACCCGAAAAAACAAAATGGTGGTGCTAGGAAGAAATGCCCCCCGCACTATTGGGGGGTGGCGCTAGCTCTAAAATTTGTGGCGCTAGCTGGCGCTAGCTCTGACGAACACAGCGCTTGCTTTTGGAAATGATCGGACGCAATGGTGGTGCTAGCGTTAACATAGCACCCCCCGAAAATCAAGGGCTTTTCTGCAAAATCTATTATGGCGCTAGCTGAACTCAAAGTGGCGCTAGCTGGCGCTAGCCATAGAGATTCTAGCGCAATCTGTCTTTAGTCAAAAATTTGAAATGGTGGTGCTAAGTTAACGGAGCCAAGAAATTTCTACTCTAGTTAATGATGAGATGCTACAACGGAATCGCTATTATGTCACGTCCATTGCTGAAATTATACAATTCTTAGCAGTTAATGAAATGTCAATTCGAGGAACATATAATATCGAAGAACATGAGGAACAGAGTTTGTTCAGAAATTTGTTTGAATATACATTACGTAAAGATGAAAAATTGCGACACTATTTTCAAAGTATCCCAAAAAACGCTACTTACCTTTCACCCGAAATACAAAATGATGTTATTCAGGTATTAACAGACTGTGTTAGTGAAAGCATCGTTAATGACATTAAAAGTGCAGATGTGCCTTTTTTCACAATTCTTGCGGATGGAACTAAAGACAGAAAAGGTCGTGAAAATGTTGCTATTGCAATCCGCTATTGTAAAAATGGCAATATTTACGAATCGATTTTGTGCATTAAGAGCACCGAAGAATTGGATGCGCAGGCCTTGGCGGAATTGACATTGACTTTAAATACGCTTCAGGAAAATGAACTAAATCCAAGTCATTTGCTTAGTCAGTGTTATGATGGAGCATCTGTGATGAGTGGGAAACATGGAGGACTTCAAGCCATATTACAAAAACGGTTGAATAGATGTATACCGTATGTTCATTGTTGTAACCATCGACTGCATCTAGTTCTAGTGAAAGCTATACACGACGTTTCTACAATTAAACAATTCTTTGATCAATGCTCTATGCTGTACATGTTCCTAAAACGTGGACGAGTTGCCAAAAATTATGAGGGAAAAGCATTAAGTCGTCTTCTAGAACAAAGATGGAGTGGACACCTTCACGTCACTAACATAATATTCATCAATTACAGGGAAATCAGCAACGTACTAAAGTTGGTTGTAGACAGTAAAGACTATGGTGGTGAGGATGTAACGGAAGCTATAGGTTTACTGACTGTGGTAAGAAAACTAAATTTCCGGTTCTGCTTAATTTTTATGAGAAAGGTATTACAAACCATTGAACCAGCTGATTCACAATTACAAGCAAGGGAAACTTCTCTTCATGATTCTGTTAAAATAATTGAAGCAACAATGGAATCGTTAAAAGTTATGCGAGAGCAAGAGGATTGCTATGAAGAAATAGTTCACCAAAGTAATTCTGGAATTTTCGAAATCATAGAAGAAGAATATCGAGCAAAGCGACGAAAAACACCCAGCTCTTCTCTTAAAAATTTTGTTATTATGGAAACTACCGGAACTAACCAAGAAATACAAGGCGATGTCAACCTATTAAATCTAAAACAAATTTTTGTTGAGGTGCTCGATATCATTTTATTAGAAATGATTAGAAGGTTCAGCGACAACAAGGAACTAATAACAGCTATTGCCGCCGCCGAAGAACTCGATTATGATAAGTTTCAATATTTGTCTTCTTTGGGAATAGTCTTACCAACTAAAGAAGAAACTGCAGTCGTCAAAGCATACTTAAAGAACATTGAAAACTGTAACATTTTTCAAGAGATCTATGAGCAGAGAATCGCGTTTAAAAATACGTATCAGCTACTAGCTGCTACACGAATTTTTGGGTGCAGTACAGCTATATGTGAGTCCACCTTTTCTGTTTTAACCAGAGTCGATCGCCCAGCTCGTTCAATGATGCACCAAAGGTTGGCAAATTTAGTTCTTTTGGCATTTGAAAAACAGCGTACGAATAAAATAGACTTTGATAGGTTTTTACGACTATTTAATAATGTAAAAAATCGACGATTGCAATTGTTTTAATTTTTTTAAGCAAATCGAAATTTATTTCAGGGTATATATGTTATCTTATTAATAAAATAAATAATAAAAAAAACTTGCCCCCTCTAACGATTAGCTTGCCCCTCTTTTGTAAGTTTTCTAGCTACGGGGCTGCTTTACTATTGTCTTTTAAATTAAAAAACTATATAAACTTCTTTGTCTTTTCATGATGTAGTGTTGTAGAAGCACCGATTCAATGATTCAAACGAAAAAAGACCGAGCACTCCCGTTAGTTTCAACTACCACTTCGAAAATCAGCAATGTGCGCGCTGCACCACAAGGTCCACAAGTGACTGACTAGTGAGACTTGAGAGGTAGTTGCCACAAAGTACGCTGACTCAGCTGACTGGTGCTATACGATGATGGCGTGGGAGTAAAATGAATGTTGTCAAAGAGAGCAATATTTATTTGCTTATTTTGATGAATTCGGTTTTAAAACACGAAATTATAAGTGTATAAAGTTGTTACACAATCGAGCGTAAGCGTATACCCAACACGCTTGAGGGTATAAAGTGGTTATACGCATTTCTTCAAAATAAAATAGTTATTATACGGCGTATACCGTCCGTATACCCTCGACTACACCACTGGGCAGAATACTCATCGTCAAGTGTTGTTCCGTGCTTCACCAAGGCGGGCAACGGTTAAATGCTAGAAGGAACGTTTTAACAGATTATTTCGTTAGCAGTGTTAAGGCGCGCCCAGACATGGCGAACGAGCGCGAACAAGCGTTGGCGAACGCAAACAAGCATCGACGAGCGGAAAGCAGAGAGATTTTCTTTAAAACGAGCGCGAACGAACAATTCGCGGCCATTTTACCATTCGTTTGTGTTCCACAGTTTTCTGTTTTCGAGCATGGATTCGACTCGAAAGAAAAAAATAATAGTAGCAAGTGCTGCGTTTTTGTTTCTGAAATTAAACGAGAAAAAACGCAGAAGGCGCCGTCGATGGTGGATGACATCAATATTTAGAGACAGAGAAAACCGTAATGCTTCAGAATTATTGCTTACCCTTACACAAGAAGATTCCGGGCATTTTACAAACTTTTCCAGAATGACTGCCACTGATTTTGAAGAATTGTTGCAATTAATAGGACCAAAAATAGAAAAAAAAGGACACTTATTACAGAGAAGCTATTCCAGCAAAAGAAAGACTAAGTGTGACTTTAAGATTTCTTGCAACAGGGGATTCCTACGCCAGCCTTAGTTATCTATTTAAATTTTCAAAACAAGTTATTGCAACGATTATTCCTGAAGTTTGTGCTGCGATAATAGACGCTCTACGACATGAAATTAAGGTAGGTAAGATACTTTTTTATATTTATTTCACCAATTGCTATATGCATAGGTTAGGGATAATGTTACAAAAAATATTACATTAAAACTACCGATGCCTATTGAAAATTTGTGAAAAATGTAAGTAACGAGGGTGCTGCAGATTCTTCTGTATGTCTGTCATTAGACTCGTGAACTGTAGATCCCATGCTCATTGCTGAAACTTGTTCTGCATGTTGCAACGGAGCTGTCTGCATAGGAGTTGGAGTTATCTGATGGTTACTCGCCGGTAGGCTTTGATTAGTTGAAAACTGTTGCTGAGAATTTTGATTAGGATTCCCAAGGCTTAGTGAAGGTGAAGGGAATGGTGTCACCGTTGTTGAAGAATGCGCAGAAGCCGAGCTGGAATACTGAGGCTGGAACTGTGATTGCATATGTAATAATGGCTGCCTAAATCTTCCCATTTCAGCGTCAAACAGATTTTGATTTATATAATGCTTGGCTACAATTCTCGAGTGACTATCTAATGTTCTCAACGTTTTCGCAACGTATTCTCCAAATACATCATTATCATCACGAGTAACTGGACGTTCTGATGCAGTCGATTTCAAAATACTATAAACTTCATCTATTCTAGGATCTTCTTTAGGCCTCTTGGCACACGATGATTTTGAAAACAAAGGTTGTTTTAGAGTGCTTTTTGTAGTCGTGGTAGATAAGGGCATCTCACTTTTTTCTTCGTCACATTTGCTTCCAGTTTCCTTTGAGGTTGCTTCCTTTAAGGTTTTATCATTCCTTTCTTCATCTTCACCATCGCCCAGGATTTCATCGTCACCTTCACCGAGGAGCTGCTGGGAATCCTAAAAACCAAGGAAAAACATACAAAAGGTTAAGTTACAAAAATTAATGGTTTTATTAGTTTTGTTCGTGGTCTTGGTGATTAATTTTGGTTAGTTTGTTTATCGCCGCTCTTAAAATTATTTTTGAGTATTACAGAAAATAAATATCTATCAGGTAATTCTCTTTGTTCCAGACACCAACTTCCAGGGAAGAATGGCTCAAAATTTCGGAAGATTACTACAATTTATGGAATTTCCCCCATTGTTTAGGCGCGATAGACGGGAAGCACATAGCTTTACAAGCACCTATCAACAGCGGTTCCGACTACTTTAACTATAAATCGCACTTCAGTATTGTGTTAATGGCAGTTGTTGATGCAAATTACAAATTTATTTATGCAGACGTCGGTTGTCAAGGACGTATTTCCGATGGTGGTGTGTTTAAAAATACTAGTTTCTATCTTGACATGGAATCAAATTCTTTAAACTTGCCAGAAGAAGCGCCCCTCCCAACAACCAATTCTGTCGCACCTTACGTGTTTGTAGCAGATGACGCGTTTCCGCTTATGAAAAATATTATGAAACCCTATACAGGATCCTGGGAAAAAGGTACAAAAGAAAGAGCTTTCAATTATCGACTGAGTAGAGCGCGACGAATTGTTGAAAATGCATTCGGCATATTATCGTCTGTATTCAGAGTGTTCAGGAAACCAATGCTGTTAAATCCTGATAAAGCAACTCTTGTTGTGCTTGCATGTTTATATCTACACAACTTTTTAAGAAATCGCAAAAACTATAATAATTTTACCGAGAAGTCAGGTGTAGAAAAAAAAGTACGCAAGGGAACGATTACCAAGAAAGATCGGCGTTTAGCTCTTTTCGATGTATTCCTCGAAAAACAGCCGAAAATGTAAAAAAAATCAGGGATACGTTTGCGGAATTTTGCAAAACAGAACGCGTTTCATGGCAAGACGATTATGAGTAGGTTATCTATATATTGTTATTAACTATTATTGTTCGTTACGGTAAAATATGTATCTGAATAAAAATTCTTACTTCTGAAGTATTTTGTGTTTTCCGTGGAGTATAACGATCTGACATAAATGCCAAAGCATCATAAGCAAACCAGGTGGGAGTATATTTGTCAGCTGTCGCCATGCCTGAATGAGTAACATCTTTGACTTTTTGTCTCTCCCTTCTATACGACGCCTAAAAAAAATAATAAATATTACATTACCTACAGACCATATACCTAAAAATAGGTACCCACCTATGCAAAAATCTGGAACTTTTAAGTTCAATTAAAATTTTAATAACAAAGAAAATTAAGGAACAATGTTTAATAAATCATTAACTTACCTGTAAACTCTTCCATTTCTTTTTTACTTCTTCTGGTGTACTATTGTAAGTACGAGCTAATTCGGACCACGCATCATTCTTTTTCCTTGTAATTTTGTAAAAGGGATTTTGGCTATCCCATAGCATTGCCAACTTTTCCACATCTTTTATAAAAGAAATAACTATGTCGTTGGACCATTCCATGAGGCTTAACACGCAAAATCAATCAACACTGCTAGTTTAACTCAACCTGTTGACTCAACTGCCACTTTTCGTTTGCAAATGCAACAGCGACCGTTCGTTCCCCGTCCAGACCTGACGATCGCGATCAAACACGAACGAGCATTTTCCTTTGATGTACCGACCGACGGCGGATCGCGTTCGCCGACGTTTGTCGTTGCTTCTTCATGTTCGTTTGCGCTTGCCGCTACATCCACACTTGACGAAATTCTCGTGCTCGCGAGTGCTTGTTCGCCATGTCTGGACGCGCCTTTAGAAATCTGCCAAGGCAGGATAAATACGTTTAGGCTCCTGAACATTATAACTTACTAGCTTACATAAAGAGTACTAGCTAGTACACATAACTTTTAAGGTACGCGTACACGCGGCGACATAGCAGAAACTGGCGTCTTCAAAAAAAAAGTCCGATGCACGCTGCTTGCAAGCAGCTTGCCCGCCGCGGTTCTGCTGGAGTGTACTGCGCAACTAGAGCCAATGTACTGCTAAACCGTCGGCGTTCGCCCGACACTTGCACGCGGCTTGAAAACACGCAAATGTGCATCGAGCCTTAGGTGCTACTTATTTTAGACAATCATTCTTCCCACCTATCCCTTCCCGTAATCGATTTTTGTCAAGATTTCATATCACTTCTATCATTCCCTCCACACACTTCTCACAAGCTACAACCGCTTGACCGTACAGTATTTGGGCCATTCAGAAGATTTTATTTTTCACTTTATTGTAATTCAATGATAATTCCTTGGACACAAGTCCATAACAACCAGCGCGTAATAGGTTAATTATATTCGTGAATTTTTTTTTATTAAAGTCAAACTAAATACAACTTGTAATACAAAAATTAAGCCCAATTACCCGCTAATATGAAAATTACAATTTTCAAACTTTCCCGAAAAGTAAGTAATATTTTTGTTAGAAAGGCCAGGGACGTTTATATTTTTATCTGATATGGATGACGACAGATCCAAGTGATCATCTGAATATGATGTAAGGCTAACATTATTCGAGGTTTCGCCTCCAGATGAACCCACCGCGCTTGCAATAATGCTAGATATTCGATTTTTGGAAATTAGGGTACGTGCTCTGCACCACCGTATTACTCTTCCACTTGCCGTGCATTTTCTGAACAAATTTTGGTTACGTGTTCATCTTTAGTGCAATTAGAAAGCAAATTTGACGTTTCTAAGTAAACAGTTTATTTTATTTCATCGACTACCATATTATTTTATTGTATTTACGGAAAGAACGCGTTCACCTCGGCGAATCAAGTAACTAATTCTGGATTGTTCTTTAAGAATAAAGTGAAAAATAAAATCTTGTATGCACCACGGCGACTTTACCAGATCATTACGCCCATCGAACGATATCCAGCTCTCGGCGCCATTATTTCACTTGTAGGGATTTTGCTCCTTTTACCTTTAGGATAGAATTTTGACCTAAGTCCCCCTTTTTTTAATTATTTGGTGGGAATACTCCCGGCTAGCCCTTAGGTCAGTTCTTCCTTACTGTCCTAACAAACTTCTCCTTTGTGCAAAAATATCCTCCAGCGGAAAATTGTACGTTTATGGGAGTACCCAAACTAAACCCAGAGATTGAGGCTGCTTTCACCGAGGCACTTAAAGGACGGGAGCAAGGTTGTCTAGGCAATTTGGGAGCGGCTTTAGCAGCCATTGGAAAAGGGATAAGCCTTAGTCTGCAAGAAGGGGAGGGGATACGCTTCCCTCTACCGTTAATAAAGTGTCTCAGCGATGCTTTACGGCTAATAGCCGATTGCCATTTTCAGCATTCGATGGCCCGGCGTTTCACTGCAACGTCGAACATAAATAAATCTTCTCGGGCTACATTGACCAAGGCTCCGATTGGAGATTGGTTGTTTGGCGATGCCCTATGTGAGAGAGTGAAGGCAGCAAAAGTGCTAGAGCGAGAATCTAATGACCGTAAAGTTCAGAAGGTGACCTCCACCCAGTTTCGTAGTAAGAGGCCTAGTTCCTCGTTAAACTCGAAGGACCTGTCACGTTTACCCGACAACAGTCGCCGGGGTAGGCCAAACTTCTCATTTCGTCAAGACCGTCAACCACAACTAATGTTGTCCGGGACAAAGAAGCATCCAGTGCTGCAAAAGCGGCTGCGATGACAGAACAAATCCAGACAGTACCGTTAGAGGTAAGACGATACTGTGGACGTCTTGGCACTTTTCTGCGGGCATGGAGGGCCATCACAAGTGATACAAAGGTGTGGTCCTGGATTCAGGGATATAAAATCCCGTTTATTAAAAAACCAGTACAATTCTCCATCCCTAGGGAGCATGTTTGGTCTGCGTCTGAACAACAGAAGGTTCGCTTGCATTTGGACAAGCTTATATCTATAAGAGCTGTTAGTGCTTCTCGTCATGAGAAGAATCAGTTTCTTTAGAATATATTTTTAGTACCAAAAGTCGGGATTTGCTTTTGATTTTATATTTGCACAAAATCTGAAGCAATACGTGATTACCCTTTGCAACTTAAGACAAACTAGAATATTTTTCAAATATACTTTCTAAAGCATTTGTGACTGTAATGATTTACTATGTTCCTTTAACCAATTGTTTTAAATGTGACCACTCCTTTTCAGAGTGCTTTAAAAATTGGGGAGCTTCTTTCCAAAGTTTGCTAAGAATTAATTTATTTGGGGTTGATCCTCGGCATGCAATATCAGCGGGGTTATCTTTTGTGCTAACTGTAGCGTTATCGCTTACCTTATTAACTCCGCGAGCGCGTCACTCGAAGTCCCCTCGTCGTGGCTCTTCTCGAGCTGTCTCTCTTTGGCTCATGCGCACGGTCACACCGTATAGCACATCCCCCCTTCTGTAGGGTGTTCGAACCGGACATCATGTTCCCGACTTGTCTAAAGGCCGCTACTCATTATTCGTAACTTCGTTTCGTTAATGCGATTCGTCGCTTCATCTCGTTAAATTCGCGCTTCGACCATCTGACGCATTACATCCTACTCATTATGCGTGGATTCACTTCGCTTCGATGGTGCATGGAAATTTCCATTGTGCGAAGTGCGACCAAAAAACTGCCATGTTCTCAGAATCAAAATATAGTGGTCAAGTTTACTACTTCTAAGACAAACATTTTGTGTGTTTTTTTAATAAAACATTTTGTGTTTTTTATTGCCGTAAATGAATTGTGAAGAAGACCTGCTTCTTCTCGCTTGTTATGTGGTTATTTCGAATTCAAAGAAAAAAAAAAAGAAAAAAAAGGTGGTGGACATGTTTCTTCTCACATAATCCCTCGGAAACACCTTCATGAAATATCTTGCACCCTATGGCATTAAATGCAAACTATAGGGCTCCAATAAGATGCAAATTTTGCAATGACCTGGACAAAAACGATACTAACACATTAATATCATACCGTGTAAAATTGCAAGGTTCACATTTGAAAGTGTTTAGATACTTTGTGTGATCACATATATTTATTATTGATTAGGTACTTATTGCATACTCAGGCGGATCAAATTTAAAGTCTTAAGAAACTGTAAGTTATTTACTTTCAGATTCGATTTATTAATTGTTTCAAAAAGGCAATGTTCACATTTAAAACGTTCGCAACTTGTACTTACGTTATAGCAGAATATGCAGTCTCTAATCCTAATCGAACGTTTCAACACGTTTTTTTTTACTTAATATTTGTTAATTTAGAGGGAAACTTCAAGTTATACACATCAGATAATAATCGGCTGCGACAGACTACATGTAAAAGCGCGATGTAAACAAAAGATCTGGTTCAAACATGGCCGATTTCAGAACAACCAATAGAAAGTGAGACCACATTATGGCCACACTGTCAATATAGAGTCACTGTAGCCACTTACGACAACTCCCGCCCGTTTTTGGTCGTTTGGTGTTTCTACTACCGTCAACAAACTCTGGAGATATTTTGGGAAATACTTTGTGGGCAAATTTTAAACTTTATGAATTAGAGGAAATCATGCGTCATCGTGGGCAGCATGCATTTTGCATTGCTTTAAATAACATGGCGGAAGGACAAATGACAGACGCAGATGTAAAGCTGATAGAAAGTAGAAAAATAACAGATGATAACCAGCCGCCGCTTAATGCCATTAGGTTGTTTCATCGAAGAATAGACTGCGATGAATACAATGTAGCATATCACCAGAAGTTAAGTACGGAAGGAATCTGGGCATTAGCACACGATGTTGTCAGCGGTAAATTGAACTGTTTTTTTTTTTGGAAATACTGCCACCCATTATATTGTAGCAAATATAATTTAAAATTTTAATAAAATGAATTTCTGGATCAATAGGAGAAGGGTGCAATGCGGCAGCTGCTTGAAAAGGCTAAAATAATGGACGCTCCGAACGCTGAAGGACTTCCCTACAAAACACATTTACAAATAGACGCCTTTATTTTGTATTTTGAAGAGAATTGATTATGGGACTAACCAAAAACACCTAAAATACAAAGACGAAGTACTGGCGTTAAAACTGATGTGACGTCACGCCTTGTAGGCCTGCGTATACTCAGGCTCAGTACTCAGTCACGGTGTGTTAATGACACAACTCAGTCACTAACCGCCGGTATTACATATGGCGGCTAAATGTTTCGGCTAGCTATCTCTCGGCCCGGAGATAGCTATCGGCTACCTTATAAGGTGTCATACGACATCATACCAAGTCATAGTTAGCTAGCTGAACGATAGCCATGACTGCATTATGTTTTCAGTAACTTTCTAGATGTGTTTTAGCACGTTGGTAGTAAAGCGAACTAAAAACAAATAGTTAGGCACAAACTTCCGCCTTGCGCTGTCATAATTTGATATAAAATTGAGTTATAGATTTGAGTCACGAAAATGAACAAAAGGTCCGCAAATTTCAGTTCTGAAGAGTGCTTCTTACTCGTGGACCTGGTCCGTAAGTACCAAAATGTTGTTGAAAATAAAGTGACGAATTCAAAAAGTTGGCAAGATAAGGTTGGTGCATCTTTTATATA